TGTCAGTCAGGTGAGCATGTGTTGATACCAGGCTGACATGCACTTGCAGTGGACAGGCCTGTGCCCTTCTTATTGGATTGCACAGACCTTTATAGGTGTCACCAGTGAACACAAGTTACATCACTGGCCACGTCCCCTAGGACCTACCCATCCTGTCCCGCCACCACTACAATAAGCTCTAAACTGAGCTGCTAATCATCTGGGGAGTGAAGGGGTTACCGTGTGGGGACGGGGCAGGGAGTGAAGGGGTTACATGGGGAGGGCAGGGAGTGAAGGGGTCACAGTGTGGGGAGGGCAGGGAGTGAAGGGTTACATTGGAGGGAGGGCAGGGAGAGGGGTTACATGGGGATGGCAGGAGTGAAGGGGTTACATGGGGAGGCAGTGGGGGAGGGCAGGGAGTGAAGGGGTTACATTGGGGAGGGCAGGGAGTGAAGGGGTCAGTGGGGGAGGGCAGGAGTGAAGGGTTACATTGGAGGGAGGGCAGGGAGAGAAGGGGTTACATGGGGAGGGCAGGGAGTGAAGGGTTTACATTGGGGGGAGGGAAGGGAGTGAAGGGGTTACATTGGGGGGAGGGCAGGGAGTGAAGGGGTTACATGGGGGAGGGCAGGGAGTGAAGGGGTTACATAGCGGAGGGCAGGGGGTGAAGGGGTTACATGGGGGGACAGGGGGTGAAAGGGTTACATGGAGGGAGGGGGATGTCTGGGGGCTCCCTCCTCCGGGCTCCCTCCTGGTGTCAGTCTGCTTGCTAGAGTCCCCTGAGGCCCTGGATGTTTGGGTCAGCGTGACCCACTGGGAATCGCCCTGCCACCCACCAGTGGGTCGCGACCCACACTTTGGGAACCGCTGCTGTAGACACTTCAATAAGATGAAACAATTTCAATGCCTAAAGTGTTCCTTTATCCAGATTAACATCTTCACGTTAGGAGTTCATGTAAATCTTACAAAGGACCTTGTAATATTAATTTTCCACTTTGTATACATGTATTTTAGGTTAAATGTTACCTGTTATTTGTGTTTAAGCACTGGTCTTTGTAGAAATACTTCTATAAGATTATTATTGAAATTGCTGAAGTTGTTCTATTGATCCAAAATGCAGTGGCAATGGCTAAGTTATGCATTTAATAAGAAGATTTTAATAATAAATTTATAGTATAAACAAACTTATAATATAAAAAAGGCACACATTATGGAATCTAACCATTATGATGAAATAACTTATCTTTATCTCTAGAAATGTACAAATCTTAATAGAACTGTATTTATTTTTTTTTCTACAGGTTATGATAACATCTTAAAAAATGCTAACAGACCAACGAACAGGCTGGAGAGAAACTCGCATCTTTGACCTTTTGAAGACTTCATTATAGTGCCTGGATTTGCCTGGTTATGGCCACACCTAGCAATGCAGACTAATATGTATATATTAAATACTGTGTCAAGAAAACAATTATTTTAATAAAATTTTGATTAATAAGGTCAGCTAATGTGTGTGCATATATTCTAAAATTATGATTGCAATAAATTAGAATGTAAATAAATATCGGTAACATTCTGCACTTTGAAAAATAAATTAAAAAGATATATAGATTAAAAATGGTTTAAATTTCAATTAGATTTTACTTACTTTAAAAGTTTGCAACTCCTGCTCTGTAAATTGAACTTTATACACATAGGATTCTCCTGTAGGGTCTAGGGAGCTATTAATAGAGCAGGAGATAATAAATTCTAAATTAACCTCTTAGTGACCAGACCGTTTTTCAGTTTTCTATACCGTTAAGGACCAGGGCTCTTTTTTACATTTCTGCAGTGTTTATGTTTAGCTGTAATTTTCCTCTTACTCATTTACTATACCCACACATATTATACACTGCTTTTCTTGACATTAAATGGTCTTTCTAAAGATACCATTATTTTATCATATCATATAATTTACTATACACAAATGATAAAATATGATGAAAAAATGAAAAAAAACAAAAACTTTTTTTTTTGAACTTTGTCTGCCAAAATCTATTACGCATCTACAACCGTCAAAAGACACCCGTGCTAAATAGTTTCAAAATTTTGTCCTGAGTTTAGAGATACCCAATGTTAACATGTTCTTACCTTTTTTTGTAAAGTTATAAGGCTATCAGTACAAGGAGCCCTTTGCTCTTTCCAAACCACAGTATTCAAAACAGGGTGTGTCCAGTCTTTTGTAGTAGCCACTTAGCCACAAATGCTTGCCAAAGTTAGCGTTCATATTAGTTTTTTTTTTTTTTTTTTTACACAAAAACTGCACTTTTACTGGTTACATCGTCATGATAGGTTTTACTGTTTTAAACACTCATATTTGTGTTCAGCGAAGTCTCCCGAGTATAACAATACCCACCATGTACAGGTTTTATGGTGTTTTGAAAAGTTACAGGGTCAATATAGGGCTTGCCCAATTCAGTTTGCCAGGTTGATTTGCTGAGTCTTTGTTGCCTTTTGAGACCATATGGTAGCCCAGCAATGTGAAATAACCCCATCATGGCATACCACTTTCAAATGTAGACAACCCAGGGTATTCAAAATGGGGTATGTCTAGTCTTTTTTAGTAGCCACTTAGTCATAAACGCTGGCCAAAGTTAGGGTTTTTATTTGTTTTTTATAATTATTTTTTCTTCAATTTATAATATATATATATATACACACACACACACACACACACACACAAGATCCAGCGCACTCACCTATCCACTAAACAGAAACTTCAATGTTGACAGATTTTATTAGTTTTTTAGTTTTAAAAGCACCTAATCTAGGCAAAAATAATGGGGGTTTAGTTACATTATATGATCATACATTGCATAAGCCTGCCACAACGTCAATGTACCCCATCTTTGGCAGGTCCTACTCTAACAGCCTAATGTCTGCTCTTATGAGATTAACCCACCTACTTGGGGGGAAAAATCCATCTGGGGCTCTCTGCAGTACAAGGCTAAATAGGGCCCTGGGATGAGGCACCTGTGACAGGAAGGGGTGCAAAGCCAAGGAGTTGGCTAGACTCCCAAAAATATATATATATATATATATATATATATATATAACCAGGGAGGAGGCTGCGCTCACCTGAACATGCAAACCCACCTGGTTTCATATATATATATATATATATATATATATATATATATATCTCTATACATACGTACATACACACACACACACACACACACAATTTCTTTTTTCTCTTCCTGTCGCACAAATTCGTTAGGGATCGCCACTAGCAAATGCAGAAATAAAAACATCTAATCATTTGACCTGTCGGCTCCTCTTGCATCTACAAACCCAAGCCTAAAACTCCCTCATACAGTTGCAAGAAAAAGTATGTGAACCCTTTGGAATGATATGGATTTCTGCACAAATTGGTCATAAAATGTGATCTGATCATCATCTAAGTCACAACAATAGACAATCACAGTCTGCTTAAACTAATAACACACAAAGAATGAAATGTTGCCATGTTTTTATTGAACACACCATGTAAACATTCACAGTGCAGGTGGAAAAAGTATGTGAACCCCTAGACTAATGACATCTCCAAGAGCTAATTGGAGTGAGATGTCAGCCAACTGGAGTCCAATCAATGAGATGAGATTGGAGGTGTTGGTTACAGCTGCCCTGCCCTATAAAAAACACACACCAGTTCTAGGTTTGCTTTTCACAAGAAGCATTGCCTGATGTGAATGATGCCTCGCACAAAAGAGCTCTCTGAAGACCTACGATTAAGAATTGTTGACTTGCATAAAGCTGGAAAGGGTTATAAAAGTATCTCCAAAAGCCTTGCTGTTCATCAGTCCAAGGTAAGACAAATTGTCTATAAATGGAGAAAGTTCAGCACTGCTGCTATTCTCCCTAGGAGTGGCCGTCCTGTAAAGATGACTGCAAGAGCACAGTGCAGACTGCTCAATGAGGTGAAGAAGAATCCTAGAGTGTCAGCTAAAGACTTACAAAAGTCACTGGCAAATGCTAACATCCCTGTTAGCGAATCTACAATATGTAAAACACTAAACAAGAATGGATTTCATGGGAGGATACCACAGAGGAAGCCCCTGCTGTCCAAACAAAACATTGCTGCACGTTTACAGTTTGCACAAGAGCACCTGGATGTTCCACAGCAGTACTGGCAAAATATTCCGTGGACAGATGAAACCAAAGTTGAGTTGTTTGGAAGAAACACACAACACTTTGTGTGGTGAAAAAAGGCAGAGCACACCAACATCAAAACCTCATCCCAACTGTGAAGTAACTGTGGGGGCATCATGGTTTGGGGCTGCTTTGCTGCGTCAGGGCCTGGACGGATTGCTATCATCGAAGGAAAAATGAATTCCTAAGTTTATCAAGACATTTTGCAGGAGAACTTAAGGCAATCTGTCTACCAGCTGAAGCTCAACAGAAGATGGGTGGGACAATGACCCAGAGCATAGAAGTAACTCAACAACAGAATGGCTTAAACAGAAGAAAATACGCCTTCTGATGTGTGAAAAATATTTTTATAAACTTTAAATGTATTCAACGTGTTGTAGGAATGTAGAAATATTGTAAGTTATTAATTTAAGCATATCCAGACATCGAGAGGCCTACCCAGATAGATTACTATCATAATGTAATTTACACACATATGGTTTTAAGTCAAGAATGATGGATGGAGACTTGTGGATCCTGTTGATAATAACCTTTGACCTAGCCTTGTAAGCCTGAATTCCTGTGAATCATTCATTCCATCATGTAATTAGAAGTCTCAAGAAGGTCTTTGTGTGTAACTTACCAAAACATCATAACGTATGGCTTTAATCATAGATATCGAATAATACTAAGTTACCACCTATTTTTTCTTAGATAACCAATTATTGTAAAGCAGGCAAACCTTATGTCATTATGTATACGCCCTATGTAATTGAATTTTAAATGTATATAATCCATTGCAGCTAGAATACCAATACCAATAGAATACCAATACCTTTTAACATCAAGCTTGGATAAGATCTAGAAGTGAATATACATTGTCTATTGGTCCATATGATTTTAAACCAGACTTTTGTTGTTACCGGATGATGTGTATATTGTAATAAATATACGGTTTTAACTGCAAGACACTCTGATTCGATTTGTTCAGAAAACTGGAAAACAAATATCTCACGGAATGCAAATTTCCTACATTTAATGGTGGAGAATGCGGGCAACTTGGATTTAAGTCAGAAGGCAACTTTGAGTTAAGTCTGAATTATTACTGACTTAATATTTAAGTGTTCTGCTACAAACTACAAGAAGACAAGAAGATAAGAAAATCGCTGAAGAAAAGTTCCAAGTGTTCTCTGAAGAAAAGCTGTAGTACCCGGCTTGAAACAGGAGAAAAACAAGAGACTGATTAACACAGCAGGAGTGCATCCCAAAGATTCTTTGTTTAAACATCCCAGATCTGATGCGAAGACGGAGGTGAAGCAGGGTGAGAAAGTCGTTCGAACGCGGCAGATGTTTATGTTCAGTACTGAAGCAAGAATTTGAAGATAAATAATTGAGATGGACAATCCGGGTCCTTTTTATCCACACTTTATCAAGTAATTTGTGACGACGTGCAGATCGAAGATTGCATTTCGGAGGATTCTCAAGAATAACTACATATTCCAGAAAGAATTCTTCTATCAGAAAGTGGCCATATCTGTGGAACCAGAGTACTTAATGGGTATGTGTCTTGTTTTAAATCATATGTAAAAAGTGCTCTCATATATATATTGTTTGTTAAACAAAGTGTTTCAACTGTTTAAGTTAATTATGGAGTGGCTGCAAAGGATTGCTGCCAGATCTAATAGAGATCTTTCTGTAAAAGGTGTTAATCCTGAAAGTATATGGGATGATTGTTTATTGAAATTAATAGACGGATTAAGTGAGATAGAGCACAACAATGTATTTAAAAAGGAAAGTCAAAAAGTTGCATTACTGGCAAAGAGTTTTTTGGAAACTAATGATGCAATGAATGAATGGTGTCAACTTAAAAAGACCAGTAATTGTTATGTATGTAGTACAACAAAACAAAAAAGGGATGTTTTGTTAAAACAACTGAAAAATGTATGTGTTGTCACAAGGACTAGTTATTTCCCTACCCCCCCCCAGCAAAACTGTGAAATCTCCACAAAAGCTGTTAACAGAAGGGAGATTGCCCCCAAGGCTCTCTTTTGATAGTGACTTGGAATCCACGTTAACTGAAACAAAAACTCAAATAGAAAATTCTCGGCAATTGTTGAAAAGTTTTAGTAGGGATCAAGAAAATGAAGATATTAATATAATGAAAGAAATGCTTAGAAATCAGACTGATTTGTTAGATAGAACCCATAAAACCCTGTCTCACATGTCTAAAGAATTAGACATAAATGTTACTAATTTTGACAATTTGCAGAGACAGATTACTAATCTGGGTAGTGCTACAGATATTTTGTGGAAAGCTACAAATCAGAAAGATTTGGATTTTACTTTGAAAGAGGAAAGTGAAAATGAAATAGCTCAAAGGTTAAGTTGTGAAAACGGGCAGGCGAGAAGTGAAATAGAAAATAAATTGGGAAATGTACAAGGAAAGGGTCAGTTGGATATTCTCAAATTAGCTAAATTGATTAAGGATTTGCCTAAATATGATGAAAAGAGAGGACCTTTTTACAATATGAGTGTGTTTGAAGGTGAAATGAATAAAAGACAATTTGATGATGTGGTAGCTACAAGAGGTCTTTTGATCTGGCTGCCAACTTCATTAAGTGAATGGGTTAAAGTTAAACTCATTGATGTGTTGGAAGGGAAGTCAAGTGAAAAGCCCCGAGTTGAGTTGGAGGAATTGTTTCCAAATAATACACAGAGATTGCTAATGGTGGTACAGTGTGCAACTGGTGTGGAGAATTTTCAATTTTCTACTCTTGATTCATTTAAAATGGAGAAAAATGATGATATACGTGTTTGTGCTAATTTGTGGAATAAGGCATGGAATTTGATTACTGATACAGAACCATCTGCTATGTCTAAAGAACAACATAAGCAGAGTGTTACTGAATTTGTCTCTAGAATAGCAGGGTTGCCAAATGAGATAAAATTAAGAGCTTTTGATTCACCCACAGTTGATTTTGCTGCTACGGAAATAATGAAATCTTTGCAATTGTTGCAAAAGAAAAACACAGAAACAGCTAAGATTTTTGCTTTCACAGACACAATTTTCTCTAGGGATACTTCAGCAGGTCTGGCCCCTATTAACTATGTGTCTCGTGAAGAAGGTAGAGGAAGATATGAAAATAATAATCGAAATGGTAATTTTAGAGGGAGGTCTATGAATAAACCACAAAATTACCAGGGTACTAGAAATTATTCGGCCCCATCCCAAGATAGATATTATAGGGTTAGTCAGAATAGTCCTATGATATGCTATAAATGCAACCAAGAAGGTCATGTTAGGAGATATTGTCCCAAAAATGAAGAAAAATCTTACACAGTGAAAGGGAAAGAAAATGGCATTGTGCCAGGCTATAAGAATCTACAGAGAGTGGCAGCTGTAGAAACCGAAAATACATCTTCAAACCCCCCTCAAATATCAAATCCATATGAAGAGTGTAGACGGATGTTAAATGCCATTGAAATGAAGGTGGAAGCAGTCACAAGTCCACAAGTGAATTCTGCTTACCACACCAATAAATAGGGATGTGTAACCCCTAGTTGTTCTCTGGTCTATCTCACTGATATTACTCTGGGTGAAGATGGAAGGCCATATATTTATGGAACACTAGAGGGGAATATAACAGAGTTTTTAGTAGACACAGGAGCTGCAGTGTCTTTAACCAACAAAAGCTTGCCTTTAAAAATTGAAGCACCAACAATTTCCCTTCTAAGTTTTAATGGAGCACATGCCCATGCAACTCTATCCACTGATAATTACATCAAATTTGAAGGAGGTAAAATAAATTGTGACTTATGGGTCGACCTCTCATCCCACTGTACTATTTTGGGGATGGATGTTATCAATGGAAAAAAGTTGTATGTGGATTTATTGAATTTGGTTTTGTGGCAAGCTCCAGGTGAGAGCAAATCAGGTGGAGTGGTTAGACCTAATGATTTAGGATGGTATAGTCATGTCATGTCTGTAAAACAGGGTGAAGTGTCACCTTCTATACAACAAGATGATGATTTTGTAACCTATCTTAAAGAAAAATACCCCACAGTATGGTCTAAATCTAAACAAGATTGTGGGAGAATGAATTTACAAGTTGTCATTGAAGGACCAGACCCTCCTGCAGTAAAACAATATAAAATTCCAAAAGAATCAGAAGAAGGTGTGAGTCAAGTGATAGAGGCATTGGTATCTCAAGGAGTGCTGAGAGTGGGTAATTCCAAATGTAATTCCCCTATTTGGCCAATAATTAAGCCAGATGGCTCTTATCGGTTAATTGTGGACATGCGAGTGGTGAATAAGTATACCCCACCAGCAGCCCATATAGTGGCCTCCTCACCAGATATCATGGCACAAATAGACGGCAATGCTAAGTATTTTTCTGTTCTGGATATAGCCAATGGGTTTTTCTCAATACCAGTACATCCAGATAGTCAGTATCGTTTTGCTTTTACCTTTAAAAATCATCAATATCTGTTCCAGGTGCTGCCACAGGGCTTCCACTCCTCGCCAGCTTATTTTCATAAAGCACTGGCTCAAGTATTGGAACCCCTGGGGTATGGGAGCAAGATTTTGCAATATGTTGATGATCTGTTGGTTCAAACAGTAACAAGGGAAGAGCATGAGCAGATACTGTGTGATATTTGTCAAGCACTGGCAGATAATGGGTTAAAACTGAACACATTCAAAGTGCAGATCTTGAAAGAAAGCGTGGCTTTCTTAGGAGTAAATATAGATCCAGCAGGTAAAACACCAAGAACAGCAAGGGTTAAAGCGTTACAGCAATTGCCAAGGCCAATGACAGTGTCTGATCTAAGGAAATTTTTAGGTTTGGTAAATTTTAGCAGAGAATTCATCTATGATATGGCAGGGATAGCAAAACCCCTGTACAATATGCTAAAAGATAGTGCTAATACAGATAAGCTACTCTGGACAGAGGAAGCTGGAAAGAGTTGGAACCTGTTAATAGATGTTCTTACACAAGCGCCTGTGTTAGCTGCTCCCATTGAAACAGTACTGTAACGGAGCTCCCTGTACTCCGACCGAGTACCCTCCGTTGATGGATGCTCCTAGCGCTTCCTGAGGACTCCAAGCACTGCAGCAGACACCACAACCACCGCAGACTCCGCAACCGCCGTATCTTGACTGGAGTCTCGCCGTCTTCCTTCCAACCTGAATCAGCTTCTGTCCTCCAGGACTGTGTGGGAAAAAACTCTTCCTTCCACCCTGTATGAACCTCCAGCATCCAGGACTGTGTGGTGAAGACCCCTCCTCCAAGGAGAGCGTGTCAGGAACAAGCTCTTAAAAGAGCTAAGTGGCTCAAGCTCAGGGGAGCATGCAGAGCATAGCAATCCCCAGTGTGATTATAACAGCTCCCTCCAATAACGAGACAAGGCTACATTTAGAGGGATCAAGAAGAACTGTCAAAACCTTTATTTCCCTCGGGACCAGCCAATAGGGTCACCACAATAACATTGTTGTGAAACCTCAATAAAATCACAAACAGTCAAACCATATCAAGCAACACACAGTGACTTATCACAACACAATGGCACATTTTTAAAGGGGTGGGGGAAGACAATATTTAACAGTAAATATCTCACCTGCCTGCAGAATTAGCAATATACAAATCTACCCGAATATGCAAATGAACCAGTCTTGCAATTCAGGTAGTGCATATTGCTGTTGCTACCAACAGAGGGCACTAGACCAGCTCCATAGCCAAACCCACCTAGTTGGTAGCAAACCTCAGCAATACAAGAGAGCAGGCAATACATTACACAGTACATACACACACACACTATAAACAATTACATTACACACACCCTGCACCTATAATAGGTACAGGGTGACTAAAACATAAGATAAATAAAGCAGCCTACATAAATAGTCTGTCTGAAGGTATACTAGGGGCTTTAAAGCCAGATACATGAAAGAGTCATAGTCACAGGGGAGGAGGCTGGCAAGTAGGCCTCTCCAGGACCAAGTGGCGAAGGGCACTTAGTCACAAGTACCATATATTGTTCAATGTTACGCAGGTGTCTCTTCATTAATTGCAGTTTTGATGCAAAGGCAACATGGCTCCTTACGAATACTGGGATATTTTTTTAAAATCATGTCTCCAGTGAAAAGGGGAATGTTTTCCTGTGTAAAACAGCTCATGGCTGTATGTTGGGCTTTAGAAGCAACACAACACATTGTAGGATTTGGACAGCTAATTTTACAAACCCCCCACACACCTGTAAAACTGTTACAAAATTGTTCTGATTTAGGAGTACATAGCCAGAAGGTAGCTCATTGGATATTGAAGTTACAAGATAAACCACTCAAGGTAGAAAGCAGTAAGAGATATGTTATTCCTGAGTTGATAGAGATAAGTGGAACACCTCATGATTGTCAGAAGGAATTAGAAATTGAATCTAAATCTCCTTTTGAGAAACAAGCAATACAAGGGGCTCCTTGTTTGTATGTGGATGGAACGAGATTTTATGCTGATGGATCACATCATACAGGTTATGCCATTTATGATGATCATAAAAAAGAAATGCAGAGATATAAATTGCCAGGCCATATGTCTGCTCAGAGAGCTGAGTTAGAGGCTGTAAGGAAAGCTCTTGAAATAACAGCATATGACCCAGTGAATATAATCAGTGACAGCAGCTATGTAGTTAAAGCTTTAACACTTCACCTCCCAATATGGAGAAAACGGGGGATGGTAGATTCTCAGGATAAAGCTTTAAAACATGCAGGTATTTTGGCAGAAAAAAAAGGTTTAACTTGTGCTGTTGTGAAAGTTCAAGCACATCAAAACAGGAAAAGTGGGGATGAAATGGCAGAAGGAAACAGACTTGTAGATCAGGGAGCAAAGGAAGCTGCTTTAATAGGAGAGTTGCAATACTCAGAAAATGTAATGATTGCAACTGTGAGTAAAAGACCAATATCAAATCCCCTACAGGATCTGAAAGAAAATCAGAGTAAAGATGTAGCTTTCAGTAGAGAAACAATGGATTTAGATACTGAAACTGGCTTGTACGGGATTAAACATGAGGAAACACAAACGTTTGTACCATTTGTACCTAGTGATTTATTGCAGGAGTTGATTGTATTCAATCATCGTACACTGGGGCATTTGGGTACAGAAAAACTGTTTAAGGTCCTGCAAAATAAATGTTATCATCCTAATTTGAAACAATGGTGTACAAATATAGTGCAGGAGTGTCTCATATGTGCTCAATTTAATCCCAGACCTAAAGGTCAGAAACCAAAATTGCAGAGAGTACCTTTGGCAAAAGGACCATGGGACTCTATACAAATTGATTTTATCGGACCATTACCTATAGCTCCAGGAGGACTAAAGTACGCATTGGTAATTGTTGATATATTCTCCAAATGGGTGGATTGTATAGCTCTTACCAATTGTACAGCGTTAACAACATGTAAGGCGCTGTGGAAATATGTATTTTCTGTATGGGGTTTTCCCAGAATCATTGAATCTGACAATGGTCCACACTTCATTGGAGAAGTACTTAAAGAGATGTGTAAATTGTTGGGGATCCAACAAAGATTTCATGTCCCATATCATCCACAGTCGGCTGGCATAGTGTAAAGAATGAATAGAACACTGAAATCTAGATTGAAAAAAATGCTTGAAGATAAGGGGAGTAGTTGGGTAACACACTTACCAGGAGTTTTAATGTCTATTCGTGCAACTCCAAACTCCAAAACGCAAGTGTCACCTCATGAGTTAATGACAGGCAGAACCATGCCAATTACTTTCCCCAATGAACCTTTTGTTCCAAGTACTTTCAAAGTTGCTGCAGAACATGCTGAATGGTTAAAAGTATTACAAGAACAGCTGCAGTCAGTTTTGAAGTTTGCTGCTTTGAATATGGCCCCTTCTGGTAAACAATGGGTTAAAGATGTAACTCAGGGGAATTATGCAGATAAGTTTAAACCAGGATACAAAGTGATGGTAAAATCATTTAGAACACCAGGTCCCTGGCAGGCAGGTTGGGAAGGACCTTATGTTATTCTAAAGAAATTAGGACAAACTGTCTTACAGGTTCAAAGAGCAAAAGTTGGTAGGAAATGTAACAAAGCAATTCTTGTGCATATTGATCAATGTAAACTCACACATGTATAAGAATAGTAAACTGCCATCTGTTTTTCATTACAGAACCAATAATGTTTGTTCATGGACAAAGACTGTTTAATTTTAAAAAGGACAATTTGTTTGGACTTTCAAAAGACACTATGGACAAAAAGACTGCTCTCATGAATGCGATTGGTGAGGACATTACTTCATGGACTAAATCAAACCGATTGGGTTTTCTTGATAATGTAACCTTTATAAAATTGCACGGCATCATACTGTTTTTAATCATGATGATGTTAGGTACAATCAATGCCCAAGGTACAGGTACTCCAGATTGTGATATTAGAGATACTTTTTCTAAATGTACAGCATTCCCCTATGAGTGAAAAGTGAAATATTGTAAGACTCCTGATGTTGATTATTGTGGATGCATTAATGCAGACACATCTGAGGATGCAATATCCGGTGCGCTCATATTCCATGATAACCAAGAACCATGTATGACATATCTATCAGTTGACGGACAAATTGATTTAATCATTAATATTACCAAGGATCGGACATATATAATGCAAAATAATACGGAGAGTAGGTGTGTGGTACCTTACCCTTACTATGTTTAATGTGAGAAGTGTTAACGATGATGGGTTAATTTGCTACATGTACTTAACCCCTTAAGGACGGAGCCAAATGTACACATTGTGAACAAAACAAAATGTAAACAAAACCTGGCATTTGCGCTACATGTCTGTCCAACCGTAATACACCTCTTTCATAGTAAATGCACCCACCCTTATTATATATCATTTTATTCAGGGGAAACAGGGCTTTCATTAATATCAAATATTTAGCTATGAAACATAATTTAATATGAAAAAAATGGGAGAAAATACGATTTTTTTGATTTTTTTAGTTCTAAATTGCATTTTAAAGGTCAGTGTCATAATACTGTTTGCTTTTACTGCAATAAAATACACATATTTGTATTTAGTAAGTCTCACGTGTAAGACAGTACCCCCTATGTACAGGTTTTATGGCGTTTTGGGAAGTTACAGGGTCAAATATAGCACATTACATTTGAAATTGAAATTCGCCAGATTGGTTACATTGCCTTTGAGACTGTATAGTAGCCCGGGAATGAAATTTACACCCATAATGGCATACCATTTGCAATAGTAGACAACCCAAGGTATTACAAATGGGGTATGTCCAGTCTTTTTTAGTAGCCATTTGGTCACAAACACTGGCCAAAGTTAGCGTTAGTGTTTGTTTGTGTGAAAAATGCAAAAAAAGCCAATTTTGGCCAGTGTTTGTGACTAAGTGGCTACTAAAAAAGACTGGACATACCCCGTTTGCAATACCTTGGGTTGTCTACTATTGCAAATGGTATGCCATCATAGGGGTAATTTTCATTCTTGAGCTACCATAGGGTCTCAAAGGCAACGTAACCAATCTGGCGAATTTTAATGTGAAAAAACTGAAACGCAAGCCTTATATTTGACGCTGTAACTTTTGAAAGCACCATAAAACCTGTACATAAGGGGTACTGTTGTACTCGGGAGACTTCGCTGAACACAAATATTTGTGTTTCAAAACAGTAAAAAGTATCACAGCAATAATATTGTCCGTGTAATGCTGTTTGTGCGTGAAAAATACAAAAAACTTCACTTTTACTGGCGATATCATCGTTGTAATACATTTTACTGTTTTGAAACACTAATATTTGTGTTCAGCGAAGTCTCCCGAGTAGAACAGTACCCCCCATGTACAGGTTTTATGGTGTCTCGGAAAGTTATAGGGTTAAATATAGTGCTAGCAAATTAAATTCCCTTTACTTTAGGCATGGGTTGTCATGCAGGTCCTGCTAATTGTAATTAATTAAGATACCTAATTATGTAAAAATATTACATAAATATATATGTAGAATTAATATGTGTATATATATACGTATGTGTATATATATGTATATATCTATATAATTTTTAAAAAATATTTTTATTTATATATAGGTATATATATATAGTGATATATACGTATATATTTATGTATATAGATATATTATTTCGTTCTACGTGTATTTTGATATATATATATATATATATTAATTTCACAAAACAGTTAGAACGAAATAACACACATCTATATATTTTTTAATTATTTATTTTTAATTATTTTTTTTATTTTATTTTTTAACGTATTTACATTTTTATTTTTTTTATATTATATATAAATATATATATATCAATAATTATATATATATTTAATCAGTATCAGTCTACGTGTAATTTGATATTAATATATATATATATAATTATATATATATTAATAGTAAAATACACCTAGACGGTGTATGTGTGTGTATGTATATGTGTATATATATACTTAGATCATATATAATATATACATATGATCTAAGTATATATAATTATTTTTTTTTACACCATTAACTTATTTTTATTTTATTTTCAGCCAGCAGGGGGACCACCTGTAATTACAGGCAGCCCCCCTGCCGGCAATACAGAAGCCAGCTATACCCGGCCATGTGATTGTGGGGTCCTGCTAGGACCCCACTCTCACATGGCCGGGGGGCTTCAACGAGGACGGATGTGCCGCGGGGGCTCCCTGGGAGTCCCCCCCACCGCGATCGCCGGCGTGGGACCGCCGGCGACCGGGTAAGTTAACAAAAACCGGAGGGCGTACAATTACGCCCGGCGGCGTTTAGAGCCGCCTATTAGAGGGCGTAATTGTACGTCCTGCGGTTTTAAGGGGTTAATAGATACACTTGTTAATCCTTACACAAATGCTAAAGTAAAAGTACTCGAACAAACACAAGACAGCTCATTTACCTATCAAAACCCAGCTAAATGTGCAGGCCAAGTCACTATGTGGCCTTGGCATCCAAAATCTAGAAAACCTTCATGGTTATGGACACCTATTTTTGTTATGAGAAATATAATAAATAGGAATTGGAACACTGTTTCGCGTTCATATGCATTCACAATCACGACATTTCATGATAATTGGACTCCAGAACAAAGAATAACAGATGATTGTAATCTTGTAGAAGAGGAAGGAAAAGATCCCATTAGAATATACAAAGATGATGATCACAAAGTCTTATTTGGGGCTTCATTTAGTATATACACATATTCATTGAACATGTCAGAATGGGACATTACACGTACATTCCCACAGTGTCAGGAATATACAGTAGGAATACAACAAGATTTCTATTATTGGTTAAAACAAGACACCACTTTCTCAAGACCAGTGAATACACGAAGAAAACGTGAGTGGTATAACACAGTATTAGGTGGTTTAGGTGTAGGAGCAAGTGTGCTAAATGGAGTAAATATAGAATCGTTAGCAGCTAGAATGAGTACACTAGCAGCTTCAGGTAGCAAATCACAGGATGCTTCATTGTTATTATCTAAGATACAAATGCAAACAGTTATCAACAACTACAGAACAGACATTTCCATTATTAAGAATCTCATTAATAAAAAGTATAATATCAGTGTAGGAATGGAAAAGATTGCAAGTGATACCTCTTTAGCCTTAGGATGTATAGCTTTACAAATGGACATCAATACTAATGCAAAAATATTCCTGCAAGCTCTTTTTAACCATCAATGGCCTTATGAAGTCCCTCTTGAAGTGCCTAAAATAAGTTTTTACTATAGAGCTTTTTGGCATACACAATGGTTAGGATGTCTGGAAGACACAATAGAAAATTGTGCTTTTGCTATTTTTCTCCCTACTAGAGGAGTTAATTACAACAGATTCAAGTATATTGATTTGGGTAAAATAGTGAATTCTAAATGGATAAAAATGGATAATAAGCAAAATGATAAAATCCTAGTGGGAGTAAAAACTGTAGAGCACATGCTGAATACAGAAAATTGTTTGTTAAACGATGGTGATTATGTCTGCCCTTATGGTGTTAATGTTCTAGAAGAGGTATCATGGTGCTGGGAGAATAATGACACGTGTCAAATGAAATTAAATAAAATACCAATTCAACCAGCATGGACATACAATAAAGGCATGATATGTTGGCATCAAATAGAAGGAAAAACAGAAATACATGAGAAAAATTGTTCTGAGACAGTAAGCTTAGCACCGGGTAGATATTGCACAAAGAGACCTGCTTTGTCAGTAACCACCAAGGATATAAGGGGTAAATATTATAATATAATACCACCCATATTAAAAAGGACTGATTCTATTATGAAATATGATCAACGTACTTTATATAATGTAAACATAGGTTACGGAGTTGATTTCTATAAGCAGTTAAAGAACAATGAAGAGTTAATACAAGTAATTGATAAAGCTGCAACTGGAGTACATTTACATACAGTGCAAGGTATGATTAAAAGCATTAAACATGATTATATCGAAGAAACCACATCCTGGTGGCAACGGTGGTTTGGGGGACAAAAGACAGGATTAGTTATGGGTATGACACACTTCATAACTCATCCTTTGGTAATTTTGATAATTATTATTATGGTTTTATTCTTCTTTAGTTGGTATATGTTTAAAAGAATCAATTGTTTACTGTCTCAACTGATGGATGTGGAATACAGATGTAAATTCCTGACCACAAAATTAAAGTTTTACAAGGAAATGGAATAAATTATGATGCATTATATTTACATAAAAAGCATCAAAGGGGAACTTGAAAAATATTTTTATGAACTTTAAATGTATTCAACGTGTTGTAGGAATGTAGAAATATTGTAAGTTATTATTCTAAGCATATCCAGACATCGAGGGCCCCTACCCAGATACATTACCATCATAATATAATTTATACACATACTGTCATTTACACACATATGGTTTTAAGTCAAGAATGATGGATGGAGACTTGTGGATCTGTACTGTACTGGATAAGGGGATTATGATGCTGGCTGAGGGGAGGAGATGTGTGGGAGGTTACCAGGACAGGATTGGCTACTGTATTAATGATTGTAAATCCCTCCCTTGCATGGGAGCATGCTTTATAAGGAGACTGTGGATTAAAAGCTTTCAGTTCTGCTCCTGAAACTGTGTGTCGTCCAGTTATTGGGATTGCTGTTGGGATATTGCTGTATTTTACCTGCTGGAAACCTTGCCTGTGGATTTACTATTTACTTTTTCCTGAGCCTCACTTGGATTATAAGCGGAGATAACCTGGGGAACATTGCATCTCCGCTACAGTACTAACCACGGTATTAGGAAGCATTACTCTTTCCCTTTCTCCCTCTATTATACACCTATGCTCACTAGGATTTGTAGGTATCACTTTATTATAGTTGTCTAACCTTTTCCTATGCCAGTTTTAGATCTCCTTCTTGGGAGATTTTTTTCTTTTTTTAGTTTATTAGCATACCTGGGTACAAGCCTTCGGTGGGGCTGGCACCACCATCTAAACACATTTCCTCGTTTCTTCCACTCATACCGCTTTTTCCATCTTTGAAGGGGTTTGGCAAAACAAGGAAATAGTCCTCTACTCGTAACAGGGATTAAACTGATAAGAATAGTAGTACTAGTCACCTGGGGGAACATTGTTTTTTAGGGCCCCCACCCACCGCTCAGGGGTGGTGGCCATGGGGAGGGCAATAGCTCCCCCCCTATTGGTATTTAGGGCCCCCACCCGCCACTCAGGGGTGAGGACAATAGGCCCCCCCTTTATTAGTATTTAGGGCCCCCACCCAGCACTCAGGGGTGGGGGCCAGGGGGGAGGACATTAGGTCCCCCCCTTATTAGTATCTAGGGCCCCCACCCGCCGCTCAGGGGTGGGGGCCAGGGGGGAGGACCTTAGGTCCCCCCCCTTATACCAATTTAGGGCCCTTAGTATTTAGTATTTAGGTGAAAAATATTTTTATGAACTTTAAATGTATTCAACGTGTTGTAGGAATGTAGAAATATTGTAAGTTATTATTCTAAGCATATCAGGGGTAGGGGCCGGGGGGAGGGCAATAGGTCCCCCCCTATTGGTATTTAGGGCCCCCACCCACCACTCAGGGGTGAGGACAATAGGCCCCCCTTATTAGTATTTAGGGCCCCCACCCGCCGCTCAGGGGTGGGGGCCAGGGGGGAGGACCTTAGGTCCCCCCCCTTATACCAATTTAGGGCCCCCACCCACCGCTCGGGGTTGGGGGCCATTAGGTCCCCCCCCCTTATTAGTATTTAGGTGAAAAATATTTTTATGAACTTTAAATGTATTCAACGTGTTGTAGGAATGTAGAAATATTGTAAGTTATTATTCTAAGCATATCCAGACATCGAGGGCCTCTACCCAGATACATTACCATCATAATGTAATTTACACACATATGGTTTTAAGTCCAGAATGATGGATGGAGACTTGTGGATC